TTTAGTGACATACCAACCTCTATGCGTTATTTAATATCGTAATCTAAATATTTTGTACGCAATTGTATGCCCTCAGCTACAGATAAAATATATTGCTGGTCATTTTGCCTTAAAATGTATTGTTGGCCATTTTAAAATAAATATATATTCGTGATAATTTTGATATAAAAATGTATTGCTGGTATTTTTACTATAAAAAGTATGTTTAAACTTTTATATTCTTATGCTTTTATTTTTATTTTATTTTTTTATTTTTTATTTTTTGGTGGTTGATTATTTGCCCATAGCTGGGACCCTAACAGGTGCTGCTACCAACCAGGGTCATGGTGGTCCTGGGAACAACAGTAATTAAGTGGTGGTTCCACGCTTCTCAAAACCTCTAATCTTCCGACCAGAGGCATTGCTGCCGGATGTAGTTTATCGTCATATCCAGTACCGGGACTTAGCTACAGTGTCTGTGATATAGCACATATTCTGATGTGATCATTAGTTTAAACAAGGCCAGTATACTGAAACTCTCGCTCACGAATACTTACAATTTCTCGCTAGCACAGCTATCGACGAACAGTTTCATTTCCCCAGTTCCACACATATGGCTTAGATCAAGGTGTAGGGTGGCTTCCGGGTACTTTCCAAAGTGTCCACGCGCTGAGATCGCCTCACCTGGCCGATAACATCAAGTAGTCACTTTTCTGGCTAATCTCACATGGTGAGATTCGAAAAGGTCTCATGGCTTGAAAAACGAACATTTGTTGTTTTTTTTTTTACTTCGCGCCCTCTGAAAACATAAGATCTATATTTTGTAGTTAGTTTCAGAAGACATTCATTCAATGATTTTGTGAGCTGTTGCATTTTCTCAGACGAAACAGAGTCCAGGGCATCCAGAATAGCATTTCAAAGTTCATTTTTGCCATCCATTCATGTTAATCTTCCTATTCTGAATGCTTCTAAGTTTCCATCCGGATTAAGGTCAAGCAAACAAACGGACCACTTCATTATACGAATGTCTTTGAAAACCATTTTTTTTTTTTTATTTATACATCCATTACGTTTTCGGCAAACTTGGACTTTCAAAAAGAGTATCAAAAAGAGGATTTTTTTTCCCATGAATCCTCTATTATTTTAACTAACTTCACTCTTCGGCAACGTTCATTGTTTTAAAAATCGGTGATGAATTTACATTCATATGTTTAGTTTATTTACAATTCTATGTAAAAATTCCTAAATAAATAGAAAGTAAATTTATACATTTTCTTTCTTGAAAATTGACAGCGAAAAAAATAACCACTATTTATTTATTAAATTGTTTATTTACACTATTTATTTATGGTATTGTTTATTGCGATGGTTTACAAAATATCGGCTAATTGCGAATTGATTCGAACTTTATAAAAGGGTAAATACTAAGGATTTCATTATAGTTAGCTCACATATTTTGAATATTTAGTAAATGTTTATAAATATATGAATAAAACTTTTTTTTATTTCTTTATAAATTAGTAAATGATAAATATCGTATATTAGTCTTATTGTATTAGTATTGTAACCTAGAGAAGGTTACTGATTAGAATAATCAAACGAAAATTGGTAATGAACGATAATAACAACACATATAAGATTCGCCAGCGGCGCGTAGAAGAAGTAGTCAACTGCTAGAAGTGAGTCAAGTGAATTCCACAATGAAT